CCCTGGGAAGGTCCTCATTTGCTCTTCCTTTCGGGGTCGGGGGTGGCTCAGGCAGAGGCTCGGAGCCCCACACAGACACGCGGCGACCTCACGTGAGCCAGCCAAGCATGCCAGACCGCAAGGCTGGACCCCGCACCGCAAGCCCTCTCTCGGGACCACCGGACGAGGCTGCTTCCCTCGGCCCCACCGACAGGAGGGGCACCGCCTTTCTTCCCATGGCATCTTGCTGACCCACGGTTGTGGAGCAGGCCCGTGACCTTCAAGGAGGTCCTCTCTGCAGCCGCAGCCGCTGTGGTAATTCAACAGTCCCTTCGTATCTCACAGTGCACTGGCCAAGGCCTGGATCTGAATCGTGCAGACCTCAGGGCTGGTAGGCAGCAGCCGTCCCGGAGTTCCAGGTGAGCCGACCTACCTGTGCAGTGTCGCCATGTGACTCTGTCATTGCAGAGTGGCCCTCACCGGCAGTCTCCAGATCACAATGCCGACAGAACCGCTTACAAGCTCCCCGCCTTGCAGAGGCCCTGACGGAGGCCCCGTTCCCAGGTGGCTGCGAAACCCCAGCCACCTGATGACAGGTGTTTGCAAACATCCCCAGGACAGCTGAGGAGGTTTCACTGCCTTCTTTGTTCCGGTTTCCAGCTCCTAACGCACTGGAAGATGTAAAAGGAAAACAGACAGCAGGGACCCCGTGACCAACTGAATGGACTCCTCACATCCAGCCTCCCCTGGAAAGTCTGTCCGGCCCTGCGGACCCAGGGAGCCCCCCCTGCCCTGCTTGCTGTGGCCCATTTCACTCGTATGCACGTGATAGAGGTTAACCCTTAGACGGCACGGTCAAGGGCCCCGAGCCTCAGGGTCTTCTTAGTCCCGTACGCTAGTTCGATGCCGGCGCACGGCAGGCTCTCCCCAGGTACACACACAGGCTGGTGGCTGAGGGCGCTTCCTCGGCACCCCAGGGGCCAGGGCCTCGCTTTCGTTGACCCTCTGCTCCAGGGAGCCTGCCAGGCATGCCGCCGCACGAGAGTCACGACTCAGACTCTCCGGTTCCCGCTGTCAGGGGCACAGCGGCCTTGTCCTTCTCCTCGCGTGAACACAGACACCGCCGTCGGACCGGGAGGTGGCACAGATTTTATGTACACTTACCCCACCGGCTCACCGTTGGCGCCCACTCGTTTCTGAGCGGGAGGAGATAGTAGAACATACCACCTAACAGTCCTCCTTGGATGGATAACCCTAAGGTGCTGGATCAGATGTAAGTGTACTCCCTCAGCTCCACAGCTGGGAGACGGGGAGGGAGGGGACATCACCAGGGGCCCCAAACAAGAGGAAAATGGGTGAAGCCTCAGACGAAACCTGCCGACACCGTCTCCTGGCCTGCAGCCCACCTCAGGGCCTCGATGGGGACTCTGCTCCTGTGTCACCTGAGGGGACAGGGGCACCCTGGCTGAGACCCCAGCCTGTGGGTTAGAAGACCTCAAGTCCAAACGGACCTTTCCAAAGCATCACTGAGGTCATGAGTTCTGTTACAAGCCGTAGAAGAAAAACGTCCTTAATCTAATTCAAGTCGTAGAGGGGTTACTGGCTGGTCAGTCGAAGCCGATGGACCCCTTCCCGAGGGCGGGCCCTGCGCTAGGCAGGCTGGGGCCATCCAGCCCTCTGTGTTCGCCCTCTGCGTCCCAGGCTCCTGTTCCTCCCCCAGTCTAACAGCCCCGGGGCCCTCTACAAGGGCTGTGCATAGAGCCAGCCCCTGCAGGCTCATGCGCGTCCCCTACCCCCAGATCCGGGTCAGGTGCTGCTCTCCCGCCCACACCCCTGTGCCAGCTCTCACCCCCCAAGTCAGCGGTGCGTGCTCACATTGGGTGCTCCCCGGGGCTAGAGCCGTGTTCGGTTTGTTTATGTGTGCATCCCCGTAACTGCACCCGGCATCTCTGTGTGTGGGACAAGCACTGCTGACCAACGGAATGGGTGAGGAACTACACCCGAGGACGAGAGACAGGGCCACCCTCCCTGTGGCTGACTCCCAGCCACACCCTCAGCAGGGCATCCCCAGGTAACGCAACACGAAGAAGTCATCTTTCCTTTTTGGGAGGTTTCCAAGCACTGGCGGCAGGAGAGACGGGCAGCCCCTCCCCTCTGGATGCCTTCGCTCACGCGCAGCCGTGCACTCGGCCGGCTCGTGCGCCCGGCAGGCAGCGAGCCAGAGGGCCCGGCGAGAGGAGCCTCTGCGTGCTGACCGCAGGGGCATCGTGAGGCTCACGCTCCCCGAGAGGAGCCGCCCAGACCCCCTCAGACGAGCTGTTGACGTAGAATTCTGAGAAACTTGAGTCAGGCGGGCTTGGAGATAAATGCAGTGTGTGTGTGTGTGTGAAGTGTTCATGTCGATGACTTTGTAGTTTATACATTATTTTTTCTTTTTAGAGAGGGAAGGGAGGGAGAAAGAGAGAGAAATATCAATGTGCGGTTGCTGGGGGCCATGGCCTGCAACCCAGGCATGTGCCCTGACTGGGAATCGAACCTGCGACATTTTGGTTAGCAGCCCGAGCTCAATCCACTGAGCTACGCCAGCCAGGAGTTTATACATTATTGAAAGTCAAGGATGTAGACATTTTATAAAGGTTTTTTCTTTGGTCGAAAATGTTTAAAAGGAAGAGGTGGCTTCTAAAGGAAAAGTGTTCAGGTATTTGGAAAACACTCGGGAAGGAGCGCCGTCCCGCGTCTGAGACCTCTCCGCTCCTGAGATTCAGAGCTCGGAGTCTCCGGCCCGTCTGCAGACGTCTAAGAGACACTTGGGGTCAGGCAGTCACTTCCCCTTCCCGGTTTTTCCATTGCGAGCCTCTTCCCAGGGCCCGGTTGCCACGGGAGCCTCTGTTTGTTTCGGGCGGAGAAGTTGTTTTTGGCAGGTTGGGGGAGGAGCAATTAATTCTAATAGGTATACAGTAAATTAAATGCTCGTGTCTTTCCAACCCTTTCTCTGTATTTCTGCTCCTTTTTTTTCTGAACTCCCTTCTCTTCCCAGACGACCCTTTAAGAGCAGAAAAGAAGCAGCTTCTAGAGCAGGTTCCCAGATCGTCCCTGCTCTTTCCAGTGTGTCCTCCCCCCTGATGTCCGCGGGGTGAGAAGCTGTGCCTGGGGGTGCTTTGGGAGGATGGAGTCCCCGGCCTCCTTTACTGACCCGTCCAAATGTTTCCACCGCTCTTGTGAAAAGGGAGCTCCCCCTTGAACCCTCCGTGCCGAAGCCATGCTCACGTGGTGGGAGGAGTGTTTCGGGTGGTCTTTTTTATAGACAGTTGCACGAAAAAGAAAGAGGGGACAGGTCGCGTCGTGCCAGTGAGCCCGCTGAGGCTGGAGGAAAGGGAACAGATGCCACGTTACACGGGAAAACAGACCCCAAACGCTTGAAGGAGCAAAAGGAAACTCGGGGGAATCCCGGTGGGTGTGTCTGGTCCTCCCGGGGGGACCTGCGGGCGTCGACAGGCATTAAGGATGCAAGTGGCAGTATTTTGGGTCCTACGACTTGGCTGCCGTGATGGGCCCGAACCCTGACTGTGTGGCCGTCCCAGCTCTCCAGGGCCCGAGTGGCTGGCCCCGGCGTGAAAGACCGATGCTCATCTGGGAATCTTCTGTCTTCTGTCCCAGCGAGCACCCCCCCCCCGCCCCGCCCCGTGTTGAAGACAGAATTCATGCTCACTCCGTGCTCTCCGCTGACATCGCTGCAGCCGGGTGCCGGCTGCTGAGTCCCGCCCCACAAGTGGCCACTTTCCAGCGATTGGCAAGCGGGCACACCTCTGGAATGTTGCTCCAGCGACCTCCGGAGCCCGTCGAATAGATCAAAACCCTGAAGTGAGGTCTCGGATGGGCTCGTTCCCATGTCACTCAGTGGGCGAAAATTATTGAATGGCCGTTCTTCTTTTCGAGTTTAGTGATGTGTCTCATTGCAGTGCAACCGAGGAGGGAACAGTCCTCCCATTTGACATTTAAGGAGCATGGGGGAGAGGCCGATAGGAACTTGTAAACTGGAAGGTGGCCTCAGAGCTCAGGAGTCTGGTGACCGTTTCCGAGGCCCTGCCGTCGCCCGACGTCGCCCAGGGTGGGGAAGGCCACCGTGATTGGGTGGGCGGGCTGGCCGCTGTTTCCTCCAGGCCACTAGGGGCCGCTGTTCCCCTCCAGGAGAGGCTCCGGAGGAACTGTGCCCTGGGCCGTGCGTTGTTTTTCACCGCTCGTTGCCGTCCTTACCCTGCGTTCCCCGTTGGGGTGAAACACTCCATTAACTCTGGTTTGGCCCGGGCCCCTTTCCCACTTTGGTTGGTCCCATGGACTCTCGGGGGGAGAGGAGTGGAAGGGCACAGCCCACTTTCTCTGCTTTGACCCCGAGTCCTGCCGCAGCGCACAGGTGGGTGTGTGTGTGGGGGGGCTCTCTCTGTCCCAGCACGGGGGTCCCTCACCCGAGGACCACTGTGCAGCCAGCCTTGGAGTCTGTGTAGCCCCTCAGAACCCCCAGGGTCTCCGAGTGTGAGCACCCACAGAAGAGGTGGGAGTGGTGGTCCCTGATCTACGAGAGGCGCCACAAAGTCGAGGGGCAGGCCCTCCGGTCCCAAGTCTGGCTGGTGGCCCAAGACCATTTCTGTCATCTCTCTCTGCACCTCCATGTCCGAGCTGGTAGCAGGACTTTTAAAGCCACCTCGGCCCGATGCACAGGGTTTTTTCCTGATGGTCAAGGGTTAAAACGTGTGACTCTGTTTTGTAACCCGCACCTGCACGCTATAAGGGCCTAATTATATGAGTTAGTTCAGGTGAGCCCTTCCGGGCCTCCACGTGGCCGCGAGCACGTGGGGCGGGGAGATGCCGCCGTTCCTTGGCCTCCCGGGTCTCGTCTTGAGACTCAGCTTCTGGAGAACGTGTGGTCGTTCGTGGCCTGCCCCCCGGGGGCTCTCCCCGGCCGTCTCCGGTGTTGGGGTGGGGGCGGCTCTGGGCTCGGACACTGAACGCCCATGCCCTTGCAGCCTTTCCAAGCGGACGGCTGGTGCGACACCATCAACAACCGGGCCTACTGCCACTACGACGGGGGCGACTGCTGCTCCTCCACCCTGTCCTCCAGGAAGGTAAGTGTGGGCGCCTGGCGGGGGGACGGGTGGGGAGTATGTGGCGGCAGCCTGGGGCGGGGGGCTGGGTCAGGTGCTGCGACTCACTCCCCTGGCTGTTTTCGTGACCGGTTTTTATTCCACAGTTGAGAGGAGGGAATTGCAATGAGCAAACACTGGGGCTTCTGACGTGGCAGGATCCAGGGCAGCGGTTTTTAGGGTAGATCCTTAAAAAGCACTAAGTCTCTCGTTGTCAGTCCAGTGGTGCTCTCAGAGAACCCGAGGCTTTTGCCTCGGACAGACTCATGCCTGCTCACTGCCCAGGAAGCGTCTCTGTAGGCAGGGGACAGCGGCCTCCCCGCTCGGGGTGGGGGTGGGGGTGGGGGGGGGAGGACCGGTGACGTGACACCCAGTTACTAGGCTCCATGATCCCATGCAGAACTCTGTGAGGGGCACTGTCAGCACGTTGCAGGCATCAGCCGAGTGGCCACCACCAGCCGCCTGGAGCCAGGGCAGTGGCCCCTTTCGCCTTTTATTTCTCTGGTTCTGGGTTCTATTAGATTAGCATGCGTCCTCACGCTGAACCTGACACTCAGCGGGCCGACACTGTGCAGTGATGTGGGTGAAGGAGCCGAGGGCGCCGGAGCTCTGCGATGCTAGTGGGCCGACGTGAGGGACGTCCCCAAAGTGCGTTCATCTGGCGGCGGTGGTGGTGCAAACAGCTCAGGCTTTTCCAGACCAGCGCTGGCACAGAGGAGGGAGGGTCGCCCAGCGGGGAGGCCGGCCAGCTGCAGGCAGGGAGCAGGGAGCAGGGAGCAGAGAGGGGCCTTGCTTCGCCCAGCCCGAGCAGGGCCTTGGTTCCAGAAGGGCGGAGCCCCGGGCTCAGGAAGGAGGCGAGAGCCGTCCTGTGGCTCCCGGCTCGGCGGCAGTGGGAGTTGCGGAGCCGCGCTCTGGAGCCTCGGTGGTCCAGCCAGCGCCTCACGGCCTGGAGTGAAGTCACCTGACCTCTCTGGGCCTCTCTGCGAGGAGAGGAGACGCTGCCATCCGTCCCCTGCTTTAAGGGGATTTTGTAATGATACAAATGCAGCGGAAACGTGAACAGCAGCAGGTCTGGACGTTAGCGGTGGCAGTGACAGGGGTTACAGGTCCCCGGACGTGTGCATTTGGTACCGTCATCTTCTCCAGATGACACCAGCGTCCCCCGGGGCAGTTGCCGCTGGGCCGCCCACTTCTAAAGGCAGACAGCGACACGCCCTGGTGTGCGGGCGTGAGCGCTGAGGGTCCGTTTCCGTGGGGTGGTGTTGGCACGGCCTCCCACGCGTCCTCCGGGACCCAGCGGGAGGAGTGTGGTGCCCGGCTCGGAAAGCAGGCCGTTTCCTCTTTCCTCTGACCCCCCAGGTCATCCCCTTTGCGGCCGACTGTGACTCAGATGAGTGCACCTGCCGGGACCCCAAGGCCGAAGAGAACCAGTGACTGGGGCCGGAGCCCCCCTCCCGCTGCCCCGGAGGCAGGAAGAGAGGGAGGCCCCCACAAAGGGAACCCGGAGGGGCACGGAGAAGGGAGTTCATGACGGGAAGGAGGAGCGTGAAGGAGCGTGTAAGGAACACAGGAGGGCGTTTGCGGGCGCCAACCCGTCACATCCAGTAGCTCAAGGAAGGACGGATCGTAGGCAGAGGTTTCCTCAAGGAGGCAGGTGACTCAAAGCAGCGGGAGAGACCTGGTAGGTGTGCAAGGACCCTCCTCCCCCATTTGTATAATCTCCAACTCCCTCCGCGACGCCTGCCCACGCCCCTCGGGGCGCCCGCCCTCCTCCAGCCCACCCCACCGCCTGCACACCGGGGGACACTCCACGCACCCCGTGGGCGTGGACTGCCACCGTCCGGGGCCCATCTGCTCGAACTGGCGCTCTCCGCGTCCTCTGTGCGGTCTCCCTTAGTAATACCGAGGTTAGTTATTCTCGATGAGTATTTAAACGTAATTATAGAAATATATTATATTATATATATATTATATTTTTTGCTGTCTACGAAGCTCAAGCTAGCCATTGTCCCACACATGCTGCTGTGAAGTCCCCACGTCCGGAATAAACGCTGCGGGTTCGGGGACGGACGGCAAGTCCTCTGCCGTGGTTGTGTGGATGGGGCTCAGGGGGCCGTGGGAGGGGAGGGGGTGTGGGGGAGGGGAGCAAGGCAGATGCTATGGGTTCTCCATGCTCACGGGTCTGCTCCCCACCCTTTTACGAGCTGGGCGCTGGGACCACCCTGAGGTGCTGGGGGCTGGAGTGATGACACGGACAGGCGTGGGGAGCTGGGCGAGGGTCGTCTAGAAAGAGGATACTCACTCCTCCTCGCTCCTCAGAACTCCGGGCGGGAGTCGGTGCGACCCAGGACCCTCTGCACTCCGTGGGTGCTGTTCCCAAGTGGGCTCCACCGCCGCCAGGCAGGCACCCAGTCCGTGCTGGGGCTCGCCCTCCGCTCCCCCCGGGTCACAGCAACTCACACGTTCCTCAGACTTGGCCTCTGCTCTCCCTCCCCCCGAGTCCCCAGGCCTGGCTGTCATTCGCAGCCAGGTGACTGTCGGTTTTCTGGGGAAGGACAGGTTAGGGGGATGGCAGGGAGGAAAGGCCGGAGGAGACGGAAGAGCAGGAGGGGTGGAGGGACAGAGGCGGCCGCAGCGGGGAGAGAGGTCGGGCGACGAGGGTCCTGGGCAGGAGGACAGAGTGGCCCGTGGGGACTCTGCCTGGCCCCGGCCTCCAAAGCCGACCGAAGGGACCCTTGGAGGAACGCAGAGTCGGAGGTGAACTCCATTCCGGCGCCAGGCGTCAAGCGGGTGGGCGGCCGGAGATTCTGATTGGAGCCAGCTGCGGAGACACGTGGAGCGAGGGTGACACTCTGTGGGCAGAGAGAAGCACTTCAGCTCTTCAGGGTCTGTCCTGCTAGTCTTCCCTGCTGGGCGGACGGCCGCACGTGCCGTGACCCACGAATGTGGACCTGCCTCCGCGTGGGTCCCGGGGGTGCCGTTTCAGCACGGGGCCTTGTGACCCTTGGGTTCCTTGGGGACGGTGGCTGGCCGAGGCTCCGGGGAGTGCGAGTAAGGAGCTGCTTTGCTGTTTGACACCCCGGTTTATCATCCCAGGAGGGGCTGGCAGCCTGCCTCCCACGAAGCCCCCTTCCCCGTGGAAGCAGGAGCGGAAACACGAGAGGGCAGCCTTGGCTTCGGGCTCTGCCGTCGGCGGTCAGCACCGGGGCCACGGCTGCACCGGCAGGAGGGGATGTCCCCCGGCGCTGTGCTGAGCCGGGTTTCGTGGGGGAGAGACGGGTCCGGAGTGGAAGGAAGAGGACAGGGCATGTGCCCACATGTGTCTGGGGCTCAGCCACAGGGTGGGGTGCAGGAAGGAGCAGAGTGTGTCCGCCCAGCAACCCGCACCCTGTCCGGGCGCCGCTACCAGGGACTAGAGCCTGTGTGTTGCTTGGGGCCCCACTGAGTGCCCCCTAGGGAGAGAATAAGTACTTACCTCCGGGGTCCTGGCAGGTTCCAGATGGCAAGGACAGTGGGAACGGTCAGATTCTCCGTTTTCAAAACTACGTGAAACTGTTTCCTTGGGGACAGTGTCCGGGCTCCTGGGGAGGCGTCTAGCACCGTGGAGGGGATCCTGCCGGGCCTGAGCCCGTGGCCTTGAGCCGGGTCCCCAGCTGGCCCACCCCCAGGCACGCGGAACCCATGCTTTGTGCCGGTGGGGGCCTGTACTCAGGGACCCCCGCGGAGAGATGTAAGCGGTATTTCATTCTGTGGCGGCGACACCCGCAGTGCACTGCCTGGGGACAGCAAGCGGACGGTTTCGGTCGGGGCTGGAGAGCGCTCAGCTCCGGCCACTCAGCACCTGCCCCGTGGGGACCTCGTGCTCCGAGCCCCCGTGTGGGTCGTCCGGGTGAGGGACTGCAGGCATGAGCTCCCCTGTGCCCCGTGGGATGGCCGGCCTCCTCCGGATCTTACCCACCCCCTGGGCCACCGCCCGCCGGCCTCTCCCCAGCCTCTCCCATCTGTCTCTTTGTTCCGGAGCCACTTCCCAGCCCCGTGGGGCAGGCAGGGTGAGGCCGCGCTTGTGCTGTTGTGTTGTGCCCACCCCCACCCCGCCCCCACTCTGCAGATGGGGACCCCGAGTGACAGAGGAGCTGGAGGAAAATTTAAGTCCCCGTAATTAAGTGCAGGTCGGCGTGGGAATCCCAGTTTCCTGCCACAAGCGTAATGTGCGATATGCTTCCTACCTTGCGGTGTCCGGCCCGCTGCGCCCGGACTGAACCCAGAACCGAGTGATGGGGGGACACGACAGGTCTCTTCCCCTGTTTATGTTTCGGGTGCTCGCTGGCCGCCTCGGGGCTTTCTCGGTGACCGAGGGTGGGAGAGCTCAGAGCGAGCCTTCCAGAGCTCCCTGTCCGGCCCCGCGGCTCACGCCAGGCCCCGGGCACAAGCAGGTGCCCTGCAAATGCCACTTGGGCCAGCTGGCTGGAGACAGTGGGCCAGGCAGCCTTCTGCCCACTGGGGTCACCAGGGACAGTCCTGGAGAGGGACTTGGGAGCTCTGGTTTCCACTGACGGACAAACTCAAATGACAGGACCAGTCACTGGTCAGCGGGCCCTTAGAGTCAGGCCAGCCAGGGGAGGAGGGGCTCCAGTGGAGGGGGGCGCAGAGAGGAGGTTCTCCTCCCACAAATGGCTGCATCCCGGCAGCCCAGGGTGACCACTGCTTGGCTCAGCTGCCCTCCCATTCCCGGTTGCCCGGTGGTCGCGGTTGCCCGGTGGCTGGCCCAGGGCAAGAAGGGCATGTGGTGGTGGTGGTGAGAATCTTCTCTCACCGGGGGCCACACTCACAGAGCTGCCCACAGGCGCCCTGGGTGCCTGGGGCTAGAGCAAGGTGAGACTGGGTCAGAAATTCCCAGCCCGCCAGAGCCTGCGCCTCCCTGGGCGTGAACGCTCACGTTCCCACCAGAGTCTCGCCTGGCGGTCAACGCACCGCGAGGCGTGCGTGATTTCTGCACTCAGCTCCTTGCCCGTGAGTGAGCTCCCCGTTCTTTCCCTCTTCGTTCTGTCGGCCTGAAAGGGCCTGCGAGAGATCGGATCATTCACTGTCGCGGTTCCTTCTCTGGGTCGTCCCGCCCAACTGCAAGTCCCTCTGGTAGGAAGGAGCTCACGGGGTCCCAGGGCTGCACAGTTTATGTCTGTGCCTCCCCGACTTCAGTGCGGTGGGCAGCACCCACAGAACTGGTACTGTCGTCGTCCCATCACCAGACAGTCCCTGCGCACCTCCTCAGGGGAGAAAACCAGGTCCCCGTTGTCACGGAACTTGGAAGGAGGCTAAGGAGACAACGGCACACCCAGAAGTGTCTGTCTGCTGGTGAAGAGCCCACGGAGGAAACCGAGGTGTGGGTGGGGGGAGGGCGTGGCCAGGCGCGGGGAGATGCCAGTTTCAGCAGCAAAGGTCCCACACTAGCTGGTCAGAGTAGTACAGAGAGTGGGTCCCTGGGGGCGAGGAAGCAGCCCCCGGCACAGGCAGGAGGTGTGAGAGCACTCGGTCCGTCTGCAGGGAGGAGCGCCCGGGCCAGCGTGGCTGGGGCAGGGGGCGGGAGGGGGTGAGGGCAGGCAGGGACCGGGGGTCAGTGACGGTGTCCTCAGTCGCGGTCACGGCTCCAGCTTGTGCTCAGGGAAGTTGTTGCCCACCCCAGCGTCACAGTGCTTGGGCCAAACCCACTGCATCCCTCTCGTGCCCCTCCTGTCCGCCCGCCCTGCCCTCCCCGCCTCGGGCTGCCCTCAAATGCACCACGGTGCTGGGGCCCAGCAGCCCGGCGGTTGTGAGTGCGTGGTGGCCCAGGGCCGGTTCCCACGGTGGCCGCGGAGCTCAGGGGCAGTCGGTTTATGCTCTGGCGTGCCCCCCCCAGCGAACCCAGGGGGCGCACGTGTGGTTTCGGATTCTGCCCCCCAGGGATTGGAAGGAAACAGCCACCCGATCGGACGAGATAGCGAGTCCAAGAGGCGGCCTCACCTGAGGTGGAGCCCTCTGACCCTGAGCGAGTCCCCGAGCGGCCTCAGGCGCACCTTTGCCGTCTGCGGGGCGGAAGGGGGTTCCCGCCTCAGAGGCTGTGGGGGGGGAGGGGGGTGCTCTCATGAGTGCCAAGTGTCCCTCGCAGCTGGGATAGTGGAGATGGCGACGGGCTGGCTTTTGAGCTTTCGTGCACTTTCTGGCTTAACTTTTGAGTTGCCCTAACGAACTTGGTGTCTCTCTCTCTCTCACACATACACACAACACACACACACACACACATACACACAACACACACACACACACCCTCACACGCAGTTCAGTGTCCCTGAACCTTTGGCATTGTTTTAGATGAAATTCCATTTAAAGTCATGCCGTGCTCCAGTTTAAGGCCCTAGACTAAATAGTTAGACGGTGAGCCTGATTCCAAGTATTAAGTATTTTTAGTTTAAAAGAACTGTCAGCCAGATAATGTGCTTGACCCCCAATTCCAGAGGGCCGTGTTAACGCCGGCGCGTGTCCCGGGGTTCTGCCTGGGGGGCGTGCGCCTCCCTGAGCAGCCCGCATCCACCCATAATGACCTGGGACAGCTGGGGAGGGGGTCTCCCTTTGCGAAGGGGACCCCAGGCAGTGGCTTGGGGAGAGCAGCAAGGTTCCCTCCAGGGACAGGAGACGGTCCTGGAGGCACCGGGGCACCTACGTACGTAGTGCAAGCCCGGCCCTCTTGCGGCGAACCTCAGTGGACGTCTGGGGCACGCGGGTGTCCGGGCTTCCTTGTTCGGGGTGGACCCCAGGCCCAGACCCTAGGGTGGGCTTCCAGCTCGGGGAGGTGCTGGCCGGCGCCTGGCTCCCTCAGGGCCCCTTTGCGAAGAGGGGCCTCCGTCCCCGCTGGCAGGGCTGTCCCGAGCGTCCAGCGGGGGGTCGCCTCGGTGAGCCTGGGAAGCACTCGGCACGTACAGCTGCGCCCCGGCTGAGCTCCTTCCCCACGGCGGAGCTGGAGCTCGGGAAACACTTACTAATAATACGTATTTAT